CTGACTCCTTCAAGCTCTCTAAGAAGCAGTATGCCCTTACCTCACTTATGGCATGAGGGTGAGAGCATACAGTAGTTCACTTAATCAGCCCATTAATTCTTTGTGTTCTTTGGTGCAATGCCAAACACACCTGCAGTGCCACTGTGGTCAGACAGAAGTGATATTTGTCGCACGACTGGCCTCTTGAAAGCACTCTACAGCCGTGCCATGACAGAAGTGCACAGCTGCAGAGTGCTTTAAAAGTGGGGGACAAATTAATCCTCATTTAATGAGGGTTCAGATGAAGGTGCTTTAAAGTGGAGTGCCTTCATTAACTTCTGTTTGTCCTGGTGCGTGAGTAGGGCTGGGCTGATGCAGCTCAGCCCTACTCCCCATACTGTTTCCAGGCTTATCTGGAGTTTGCCCAGCCTGCACTGGAGGTGGGGGTTAGGTGGATTGGACCTTGGAGTGGGGTGGCAGGGCTAGGGGGAAGACAGGCAAGCAGGCAGCCTCTCTCTGCTGGATCAGCTCCAAAGTGGAGCTCAATCCTTTCTCTTCTCCCAAACAGTGAACTCCTGTTGTGTCAGGGAGGGGGTTACCTAACTCACAGCACTTACTGTGAAGCGCCATGAGTTACAGCAGGGAGCTACATGCCTGTCAGTGCCCTGTATGGATATCTTTACACATGCTCTGGTGGGGAGAGGGGCATTTTAATTTGAGTGGCTCCAATGAGCTTGAGTTGAAGTGCCCCCACTGCCATTTTGAAGCAGGGGGATGCTGAACATACAAGATTTGGAAGCTGCTGAAGCAAGTTAATTAGCTCCAGCAGACTTGTGTCTGCTCTCATGCACTGTAGTTACAGCACATTGGAGCAGTGTTCCTGCCCATATATAGGTACCCTATGAGATCCTCCTCATTTCTCTGTTCTATAAAATCAGTTTATAGAACAGAGTTATTCTTCTGACATGTAACTAAATGAGCAGCCTGGAATGTGAACTAAAACTCAGGTTTGATTCTGCTCAGCTTCAACATTAACTTTTCAATTTAGATTTCCCTCTGAATCTTGTCCAATGAGTTTAAAAGAAGAGAGTATTGCATGAGAGACCAAAACCAAGTGCAGCACATGGGGCAACCAGCTATTTTGAAAAGGAACAATTTAATTTTATCTGGAAAGCAAGAGAGCACTTCATCTTTCAGATAGACAGAGTGACCCCCAGTGGCAGACATTCTTAGCCAGCACTGTTTACATTGTCTCACTGTTGGTGGCCTTTTTAAATAGTGAGTCCCTGATATTCCCATGTGAACACCTAAATTCCATTTGCTTTTTTTTTTAAATAAATGGTAGAACGTATCCATATTGTATAGTCCTCAACAGTCCCTTGATATGAGGATGACAGTCTTCCAGTAGATAGGGAAGTCACTGGTAAATCTGGAGATGACTGAAGAGGCCAATCTGAAATCTGCATGTTCCACTGCAACCATGGTAAATAATTCCAGGAGGAAGGAGTGGATTCTGATGATGTTGGGTCACAGCTCTTTCCCCTTGTCTCTCTCAGATATCTGCAATCTTAGTGAGGTAATCATAGTGAGTAGGGGTGTGTGAAGCTTCTGTCACCGATCTGATTCAGAGAAAATTTGGCCTGATTCAGAGGCTGAATCACCGCACCCAAATCAAATCGGAAGATGAAAAAAAACCCTCTGAATCTATTTAAAAAAGATTTGGAGATTTGGCAGCTTGGAAGGCAGTCTTGCAGGGAAACAGAAACTAAGAAGAGGGAAGGGGAGCAGGAGGCGAAAGACTGACATCTGTAGCTAGCCAGTGACTCTGATCTTTCCCCAAGTCCCCTTCCAATCAGTGCTCTGGGGGAGGGAAACAGCACACAAGCCTCTGTCTGCAGCGTTTCTGTCCCTTTTGTGAGCTGTTTCTGCCTGAGCACTGGGAAGGCCTCCTGTTACAGGCTACTATCC